GAACTTACCTCTTCTAATGTTACATGATTTAAAGATAGTGCTCGTAATTTATCAAAATTTTCCAATGGATTGAGTTCATTAAATTTACCAATACTTTCATAACTACAATGTGGACGAATATGAATTGCAGATATACGTGATGTTAATTTCATATCATTAATAAATTTAATTTTTTCCTCTAAAGCTTCATCCTTAGCAATCATTTGAATATTAAGTCGATGTTGTGTCCATGGATGATCAAAAACAATACATGCTAAACGATTATTTAGTTGTCCAAATATTGAACTAAATTCTTCTAATGTTAAATATTCGAAGATCGAAATAATAATTTCATCGGATAGATCTTCAAAATTACTCATTATTGTCTAGTTATTAATTGTCCTTCAAATATTCTGTTTTCTCTTCTTTCGATTACTTACTATGAGACACCTGTCTTATATAAATGCGAAAAAGAAGGAGAAAAAATATTAAAACATAATATTTTTTTCTTTTTCGTCAAGAAGAAAAAACGAAGGAAGAGAACGAAATAAATAAATATGACATACAACGACAATGAGTCATTCTTTTTTCCCTTCAGAGGAAACTTCCTTTTTTTTGCTTGACTGGTTTTTGTTGAAAATGTACATTGAATATATTCCCTTAATTAGGAAGAAAATACATATATTAATAGGAAACAATATTTTATTTGTAAATTAAAAATAAATGAAATGACAACAACAACATATGTGTAAATTTTTCGATAAACTACAGAAATAATAATTGAAAACGTACATATTTATATAAACAAAACTTTCTTTCATTAAAATATCAATAGACATTTTTTTTCCGACTAACAAAAAAATAAATAATAGTACATCTCGAATATTTTTTGTTGGATATTAAACATCAATCTCATTAAGTTGATTCTCTTGAATTTCTTCGGAAATTTGTTCAATCATCCATTCTAAATTCCATCGATCTGGATGCCATACAGGTAAACATTGTTCATAAACGTTTAATGCACGTTTATAATAATCAAGAGCAAGATCAAGTTTGATTAAATAATTATAACAATCACCTATTTTAAATAAACTTTTACCAATATCTTCATGATCAGGTGACAAATATTTTTCACGTATTGCTAAACATTTCAATTCATTTGCAATTGATTGTTCATATTGACCTCGTGTTAATCGTACTTTACCTAAGAGTGAAAGTGTTTCAGGTATGATTGGATTTTCTTGAGGTAAATTTATTTGTCTAATCCATAAACATTTTTCATAGAATTCAATAGCATGATCAAAATCTAATTTTGTATAATAAATAAAACCAATCCATTGTAAGAAAAGTGCTATTTGTATATGATCAGTTGGATAATATTCTTCTTGTATAGTTAATGCTCGTTTATAATAATCTAATGATTCATCATATTTTCCTTGATGACTTAAATTACTACCGATTAAACTAAGAATTATTGATATTTCTGTATGACGTAA